ATTTGTCTTGCGGATAGATTTCAATCGCCTCGGCTCAAATCTCTCCGCGTTCGAGTTGTAATTTCAATTTTTGTTTTAGTTCTTTTGTACGAACTGAACACTTCAGTCAGTTCATAGGTTCCCGTTGTAATACAAAACACACATTGTGTAACAAGTTATGAATAATTACTTATTTGTATGTTAAATTTAGAACTCAAATTTAGACTACACAATAAATCCCCTTAAATTTGGAACTCAAATTTGGAACTCAAATTTTTAAGATGAATGCATACCAATTTGCCGAATTATCATCATTTCTAATTTTCAAGCTAAATACATACTAATTTTCCGAATTATCGGAAATATATTATGGAAAGATATTGTCGGAATATACTACATTTGTGAATCATATCACATTGACTTTTTTAACAAATCGACATAAAATTCAACTTTCATACACATACTAAATAAAATTCATACCACTTCTTTTATTTTTAATTTTCAAATACCGTTCTATCTATACAAAATGAAATTAATACAATTTAAATTCGGACATTTCATCCCAAAATAAAGCCGCCCTTTTTATTCATCATAATATTTAAATATTATCTTATTTTAAAATTTATTGTCATGTAATATATATTAACATAATTTTTTAAGTTAACCATCCAATTTTATTATATTCAAATATTGTGATATTTCTAACAAACTAAATTTTATACTCTTATAGCTTATGCAACATGAAATTCTATTTACGCTACGTAGTATAAGAACCAAAACGCAACGAATTGCATTATAAACATTTTAAAACAATAAAAGGTATACTACAATTTAAAATATTGATTTGTTAAAAATTAAGCGAATCATTTATTCTTTTAAAAGAAAACAAATAAATATTCTATAGGATATCAAACCAGTTTAATGCATGATAGTCATGTTTATTTGTAAAAATTTCGTATTATCAAAATTCATAATATTATAATTCTTCGTTAAATTGGGAATATATTTATATTTTAAATATATTAAAATGTAATTCTAGGTCTCTAACTTTTTTTTAATTGACGTGTTTAAAACAATAAATTAATATCAATTAACATGAATAATTGTGTCCATTATCAATTTATTGTACAAATATTTATTTAAATATATGTATTAATTATATAATAAAATAAGTATAATATTCTAATTAATAATCAAAGTTAGGTGGATTATATTGACATGCAAATACATATTGTATAATAAAAAAATAGTTAGTGTTTATCATATCATATATAAAGATTCATATGACTTGTTGTGAGCTATATAATATCAATATATATTATGATTTAGGACATATATAATTTAAATAAATAGAATACATACTATAAAATGTTTTCAATTTCATATATGGAATGTTGCGGCTAAGTAATATTAATTGCAATGGATGTGATTGTGATATATAATAAGGGAGGACCATTATCTATATTTAAATTAACAGATAAATTTGTTTCCATAATAAATAAAAACTATCCTAAAATAAAATCAAAATATTTTTGAAATTCAAAATTAAGACTCTATTGGTGGCGTTTTTTCGAAATTTTCAAAAAAATACCAAGTTTTTAATTTGAAAATTTTTTAGGCGGAATTTTAGTTTCAATAACCTTTATATATATATAATTTATTATAAATAATTGAAAAAATAATTTTTAAATGCTAATATTAAATAATTAAAAAAAATACATCTGTAAGTCATCGCGAGGATGGCCGATGAATAGTATCAAAAATAGGGTCCGGTTGGGACATGTTTCGAGAAGCTCCATCATTGGGTCGGGTAGCACGTTTAGTAACTAAAAAAAAAAGAGAGATATATCGCAAAAAAATTAATATATGAAACATATATTGTTTATAAAATATTTGGTTTATAATTTTAATTATATTACTAAAATAATAATAAAAAAGACGTTTAAAAACACATAAATAGTGACATTTTTTTTTTAAAGTGACACGAGTGTGATTCTTATAGTTGTCCATTAATGGATCAGACCAAATTTTGTAATCCTAATAATACAATGATATAAAAAACTCACTAACTCGGCACATGTTTTATTGAATAAAAATGTCGGGTTTTATTCATTCATTATATAGGTATGATGGAAAAATCTTATTGGGCTGCAAGATCTTTTATTTATTTGACGATATACAATTTATATTTATTCTGATATGATTCTCGTTAAAATATTATATCTCATTTGAAAATAGTTAATATATTCTATTATTGAAATATGCATTTAATAGGTGTTTAAATATGCACGATTAATTAATTGTATATATATGAATTTCTAAAATTTTGTATATCTTTAACAGATAATCACAGTACCTGCTGATATTTTATGCATATAGCATCACAATGTATGTATATTTTGGTAAAAATAACTTGATATTGAATTTCTTGTTATATTTAACAAACTTTATGGTCGATATTTTGTAAGTAATATTTGTTTTCACGCCGTAATAAGCATTGTCAATCTTTTTTAATATAATATTTGTTTGATATAATTGTGACTATATTGCAGATTTGATTGGTCGAAAAGGAAATTTCGAGAATATGAAAGATAAATTGTTTTGATTGGACCAGAATATTTTGTATAACATTAACATTTATTTATTTAATTTCCTTTGCAGTTGGGATATCAAACAAATGAATACAATATTACCTTATTTAGGCGGGAATTTTACTTCTATTTCAGGTAAATACCAAACCTTTTTATATGTATATAGATGACTCGTATTCTGACACGAGACTTCTCATTTTTGTTTGCTCAAGATTGAAAAGAAGGGGAAATGTTACGGTCTCGTCACGGAATCATTCTGTCGGGTTTGTAACCGTCAGATTATCATGTAATCATCGAGGATGGTTGATCTAACAGTTACAAATCTCGACGGAATGATTCCGTAATAACGAGACCGTAACATCTCGTGCTCTCTCACTTTGATTTTTTATTTCTTAACCAATTCTTTTTCTTTTTTTTTTTTGGTAAGAAAATTTAAATAAGAAATAAAAAATATTTATCCATGAAATTTTGTGTTGTATAAGAATTTAAGTTTAACCATGAGTCTATTTAACCCCAAACAACCCCTTAAATCAACCCCTCTATAAATCTATCATCTAACACCCAAAAAAATCAAAATCGAGCTTCGCCGCCGCCGCCGCCGCCGCCGCCGCCAACTGGGCACTCACGGGTCCTCTGCGGATGCTAATCGCCTAGCCCTCGCCCCGCTTCAGTCCTTACGTCCCTCACCTCTCTGTAATTCAGGTATTCATGGCAGATAGCGGTCAGCCACATAGGAGCAACAACGACGATGCGGATGTGATGCTTCTGGTGCGATATTTAAACGGCGCAACCCTCGATTGTTCAGTAATCTCAACCCAAAACAACTCCTTCAAAGTGCTTGATGATGGTAATTTTTCAAGCTTGCCTTTTCTCAAAGAAGATAACTTTGATCCCACTGTCACG